ATATTGTACTTGTTACTGTACTACATCTCAGAGGTACATATTGTACTCTTTACTGTACTACATCTCAGAGGTACATATTGTACTCTTTACTGTACTACATCTCAGAGGTACATATTGTACTCTTTACTGTACTACATCTCAGAGGTACATGTTGTACTTCACTACATTTGTCTGACAGCTTCAGTTACTCTTCAGGTTCTCATCTCCTTCCTGTTCAGGTCAAACCTCGTATCTCCAGATGTGTTGATGTTGATTGTTTGTGATGAACTGAAGGATGAAGTGTTTCCTTTATGTGTTCCTTCTTCTTCAGCGAAATAAACTCTTAAAGAGTTAAATGCATCATCACAAAGCTGAAAACCGAGCATTTACTTTAAGTACTTTTAGTACATTTAGCTGATAATAACGTGGTGGTATTAGTACCTTTACTGCAACAAAGAGCAGAAATAATAATCAGTGTTAATTAACCTGACTCGTTATCACCTGTGCTCAGAAACCAGCTTCAGGTGTTGACGAGTTTTTGGTTTTTCTTTCAGCACAACGTTTGAAGTTTCCTTCATCGATGAGTCAGAGAGAACGTTAGCAGTCATTCAATCATCTCGTTAACTTCACTCGTAACCTTGTGACGCATCGTGGATATTAATATTCTGCTCCTCCTGAAGAAGACGTTTGATTTGAACTTCTTGTAGCTCCAACAGAATAAAAAGGTGAGTCACACCGCGATAAAGCAATCGCACAATTACCCAGAACAAGGAACGGACCAACCCGAGCGCAGAGTCACTGTTTAACCTTTGTGAAGTGGTTTTTATTTCATTTCAATGTTTTTCTGTTTTTTATGAATCCCACTCACATGAACCACCTGCCTGTTCTACTTCTATGGCTGCAGACACTTCTTCTTCTCTGGTTTGTTTTATTTGTTTAACTCTTATGCATCACTCGGGACATTTCTTGATTTTTCTATTATTTTAGCTAAATGCATATGGAATACATTTTAGCAAAGGTGTGAGTTTTGTTTTTAATTTTTAGAAGTCGAACCTCAACTACTATAATACGTTTATAATAATAATAAACTGTGGAGCCAAAGTACAGACACTGTAATGTCCCTGTTGAAATAAAGCCAAACAAGAGAAGAGCAGTTAAACAATGAAACAATAGATTAAAACAATAAAAAAGTATCAATGAAATAAATACAAATAAAGAGAAAAGATATAAAACTAAAGATGTTAAAAATATATATTACGTATAAACCCTGATGGTGCTTTCACACACATCAACAGAAACATGAATTTAAGGTGAAAATAGAAAAGTGAGGCACAGTCGTTACCACAAATTTAAAAGAAACTGAATCAACCCCAAATCTTCATTCCTTCTCTTCTTTGTTTGTTAAACATGTGAAACTCATCACTGAGGCGCTGGCAGGAAGCTGTAATCTGTGATCCACGTCACCGATAAGAAACACAATGGAGTGTGTGATGACCATGAGATAAGAGTGGACAGAAGAGTTATTGTTAAACGGAAGTTATGTGTCATTACGGAGTCAGCAGAGAGGTCAGAGGTCACAGAAACATGACACGATGCTGCAAATATTAAACACTGTCGTCGGCATAGAAAAGAGTTGAAGAGCCACAAAGCTTGATTACAGAGAACCAATTCAACATCAAGTCCAACTGTATTCTGCATGTCATGTAACGCATTAGGACTCAATGGAATCTTCACTCAAACTATTTCACATGTAAATAAAACATTCAGCGTCTGAATGATATTGTTTTTATTGAAGTAAAGATATAAATATAAGAGCTGGTGTATGTTCTCGTTTTCATTATTTAGATATTCTCATATTCTGTTTCTAGAGTTAACTTTTCACTTCATTTCCAGCACGTTTTAATTCAACTGAGCAGTTCTTTGAAGCCTTATAAACTCTCTGTTTTCCGTATAATTAGCACCAGATTACAAAGTGACGTCCAAGAAACTTCCTAGAAAATTGTTAGCAATTTATGGGCTCATAAAATGAAGCATTTAAAAAAGATAAACTATACAAGCTGTGTTAAAGCCGTCTTCACGCTGCCAGGAATTAAATTAAATTCCTGCCGTCTAACTCTTGTATCTGTTGGTTGTTTAGTTGGACTAAAGAACAGGATGTCAGGGTGGATGATTGGTTCGATACGACCACTGACTTTGATATGTCTTTGGCGTTTTGTCACCTAGCAACAGTAAAGTTTTTAAACCACGATCAAGTCATTTCTGTGACCAAACTTCACCCATAACCGTCCACTGTGTCGTGTATCTCTGGTCGTGATGGAGCTCCACCTGAACCTGCAGCTTTATAGCGACTTTTATCTCATTGTTCATCAACTTTACTGTTCTGGTTCACTCTCACTGCTCTCATCGAGGCGTTTTCAGAGGAAAAAGCTACAGAAAGCTTCTGTTCACTTCCTGCTCGGCAGCAAACAGCAGAACGACTCAGTTAGCTGCTGAACATAGCGGAGCATTTAGAAGATAAAGAGACCGATGTTTACCTCCGGAGGTGGTGGAGACCAAACACAGAGAGAATATTGGACTTCCATTAATCAGGTGACACAAACACAAAGACTACAGATGAATCCTCATGTTGATCTGTAACATGTGGGAATAAGAACAGCTTGATGCTGCTGCAAACAAGAGGACACACATATCAGTTATTGCAGGTTTGATTTTGAGCCTAAAGCTAACCAAAGCTTAAACAATGACAAACATATTTTATTACTATTAGTTTGGAGGTCTTGTTGTTTTTAAACTTGAAAAACCTGCTGCAGTGTCTTTACATGCTGCCAGAGCGGTAAACCAATCACACAATATTAGGAGATCAACCAACGTGTCCAACCAGACCTCCGTGGACTGATTCTGGCTCACTGTAATAATAATATCTCTGATAACAAAGGTTTGTCTCAACTTGCGTTTCTTCATCATTTTCATATGAACTGCCTGAAGTTTGCAGAAGCTGAACTTCTCTCCTGTCTGTGAACACATTGTTTGAGTGTTGAATGAGCCCATGTGGCTCTCCGGTGTCTGACTGACTAGAAGAACTGCCCTGTAGCTCCGCCTGCTGGACAGACGAGAAGCTACACTCGTCTGGAATTAGTTTGAATTTATCTGATTTGACACTGATGTTCAGTAAGAGATGAATATAAATACTTCATATACAATACCTCAGATTATTTTACTGGTATACTGCATTGTTTTTCAACATACTTACATTGATACATAGAACCACTGGAACTACATTGATTCTAGTGCAATAATTACATGTATTATAGTGTAATGATTACATTGATTATAGTGCTATTAATACATCTATTACAGTGCACCAATTGAACTGATTCTCGTGCAATAATTACATTGATTACAGTGCTGTAGAAACATTTTTATAGAGAGCGATAATTACACTGATTCTGTTAACCTCTTCTCAACTTCTTATTTTGCCGTGTCGTCAGCACCTTCTGCTGGATAAATGATGGACGTCTTCCTCTTCCTACACATCGTCTGTGGAGGACAGTATTTACTCATGACGCACAACAGATAAGAATCTGACAGGTGTGTGTGTGTGTGTGTGTGTGTGTGTACTTCTATCTTTATGAGGTCCAGTTTTAGCCCATAACAGGACATCTTACCTTGATCCAATACAACAATGTACAGATATGAAAAGATAACTGCAGACTCGTATGAATATATTGTGACGGTGAAGTAGTCTCCCTCACAAATTGCCCAATTTTTGCTGTTTCATCAACTGTAAGTTTGAAGTCTCAGAACAGACATTATGACTTTGTTACCTTTGGACTGAGCCAGGCTAGCTGTTTCCCTCTGTTTCCAGTCTTTATGCTAAGCTAAGCTAATCGTCTGCTGGCTGTATCTTCATATTTACCGTTCAGACATGAGAGTGGTGTCAAACCTCTCCTCTAACTCGGCATATTTCCCAAAATGTTTATTTATTTATTTTAAGATTGAAGAGTTAGAATGTCTGGAATGAATGGTTGTCAATGAGGGTCCTCACAAGTATATATACAAAAACATGTGTGTAAGTGTGCACATCCAGCAAGATGGTTTATGACCTCATCACACACACACACACACACACACACTCTAGCGTCAGGTGTGTGAATGTCTTTCACCTTTTTCCTGTTCAGAGCTCAAAGTTCAGACGGACAGAGACGACCCACAGACGCCACAAACAACAAGAAGAAGAATTCATCTCTAGAAGGTCAATTTCACAACTTAAAACCACAGAAGAAGACTTGACACATTTGCAGGACTTGTGCGAGTAAATATCTGTCTCTAATAACAGATGGATTGTACCTGAGGACGAGGCGCTCGTATAGACTGACTGATCGACGGACTGCCGGCCATCTTGAAGAGACGGACAGGTGTGTTTGAACAAATATGTCTGCGTAACGCTTCTGCCTCACTACGGACATTTTGGCTTTTCAAGTTTTACAACATTTTGACAATTGTGTGAGTTTTGGTTAGAATTTAGAATTTTGGAAGCTGAACCTCAGCTCCTATAATAAGTCTATAATGAACTGTGGAGCCAGAATACGTGTAAAATCTTTAATTATTGGTTTGGTTGTGTTGCAATTACGCTGAAAATGTTTTCTTTTCATTATTTTTGGGGAGGTCTGTTGTATAAACCTGCAGCTTCTTGATGAATATTGAAACATCACTTTCACTTCTGTTATTGATTTTTATTCGTGCAAACTGCACTAAACACAAAGTCTGCTAGTTCCTCCATGTTTGTTCACATATTCAATAGGATGCAGTCAGAATTCCAGTTAAATGTCATGTTTTGAAGTGACAGAAACCCATCGCCAGATCTTATTGTTGCACATAACAGAACATCTGTCGCGATTGTCTTTCTCTTTATTCTAAAAATGATTGAATTGCAGCAATTTACCTGTTTTATTTATGTGGCCTTCTTTTCTGCTTTTTAAACTAAATTTAGCCTTAAATGTTCTGTCAAGTAGCTTTAAAACTACAGAAGCCTGTTTTTGCTCCCTGAAGCTACACAATGCTTAGAAATGTTTTAAAGCTGCAATGTTACGTCAACACCATGAAATGTAAATATTCAAAGCATCTTTATTTATTTATTTAGTATTTATTCATTTAAATTTAAATTTTAACACACATTGTCTGTCCTCAGCTCCAGCAGGTGGCCCTCCTGATTGCTCCTCACGCCCCGGCTGCAGCGCCTCCTGCTGGGCAGCATGGAGCATGCAGCAGGCCGGCTGCCTCTCCAGGTGCTGGGAGAGAACGAGGCGCTGCAGCAGTTCTTCAGTGGTGAGCAGACTCATAACGTCACTTCAGTCCAAGAGTCACTAGAGGAATCCATGTGGCTTTCTGGTTCTTGAAGTGGTTCAAAGTGTCTTTGAGGATGCTCAAGTCCTTCAGGTACAGGTAGTTCTTGTGGACCTAAGTGGGCTCCCTGAAAAGGTTATTTTAGTCCTTGAAGACCACAGTCCATGTTCCATGAGGAGAAGGAAGTCTCACTGGTCTTTGAAGAGGTTCAAATGGTCCGTGTGGAGGTTTCACGAATCCTAGAGGAGGTTCTATCGGACCTAAAGAAGGACAGAGGTGTTCATAAGTACATTCAAGTTGTCCTGGACGTGGTTCGGGTTGTGGAGACAGATATATTGATCCTTGAAGAGTTGGTTCTTGTGAACCTGAGGTGGTTCCTTAAAAAGTTTATTTTAGTCATTGAAGAGGGCAGTCCATGGTCCATGAGTAGAAGGAAGATGTTATGGTCCTTGGAGAGGTTTAAGTGGTCCTTATGGAGGTTTCAGGAATTCTAGAGGAGGTTCTACTGGTCCTGAACAAGTGCTCTTAAGAAGATTCAAGTTGTCCTGGAAGTGGTGCAGGTTGTAGAGGCAGATGTTTTGATCCTTGAGGTCATTCTTGTGGACCTTGCTCGGCTCCTTGAATAGATTCTATTGGATCTGAAGAGGACAGCCCAAAGGTCCGTGCGTGCTCTAATTGACTTTGCGATGATCTAGTTGTCTCTGAGTTGTTCCAGTGGTCTTTCAGAGGTTCCCCAGCTCCTTGATGAAGTTCTAGTTGCCCTTGAGGAGATCCGTTTTGTTCATGAGGTAGTTCCCGGGGTCGCCAAGGATTCCTGTGGCGATTGAGGAGGTACCATGGGTTGAGGAGGGGGTTCAAGGGGTTATTGAGACGGTTCAAGTGGTCCTTCTTGGGGAGGTTTAAGTGAGTCAAGTGCTCCTCTTGAAGAGGTTCTAAAGGAAGTTCAAAAGGTCCTTCAGGTAGATCTAGAGGTCCTAAACAAAGAGGTTCCACTGGTGCTTGAAGAGATTCAAGTGGTTCCTATGGAGGTTCCAGGATAGAGGAAGTTGTACTGGTCCAGGAAGGGTCAAGAGGCTCTTAAGAAGACTCAAGTTGATTATGAAGTGGTTCCACTAGTCATGGACGTGGAAATATTTTTCATTAAGGAGGAACAAGGCTCCAAGGATCCTTGCAGAATAAGATTTACTTTAGGGGCTTCTGTGGGTTCTGACGGAGTTTAAAGTTTGACTTTAGTGTGTTTCTGGTGGTTTTTGAGGGCATGTTGTCCTCAAGGTAGTGGTCCTCGAAGAAAAAAGATGTCAGAGATTTCTAGGGTGATTCCAGGGGTCCTTGAGGAAGTTAGAATTGTTCGCAAGGAGCATTCTTTTAAGAACAAATCATAACTGTAAAAATTGTAATTTAAAGAACACATTTAGACACTTTGATGCTAAAATTGATCCAAAATCAAAAGTGCAAAAAGAGTAATGTATTACTATGTGTGTGTGTGTGTGTGTGTGTGTGTGTGTGTGTGTGTGTGCAGGTCAGGATGTGAGAGGTGTGTTGGACAGCTCTGTCACTGTGGATACGAGCATCCTGGAGCAGTACCTCAGTAATGACATGGATCCCAGCAGCTTGTAAGATTCACATGAAACTTAATCACTCCTGGAAAACACTTCCTGATTTCACCAATTGATTTGATGTTTTTGTGTAATTTACTCCTCAGAAAAGCTCCTACAAAGTCCAATACACATATTGTTATTTACATTTTGATGATTATATTTTAAGTGATTAAAAAAGTGTACATAGTATGCAATAAACTAGACGAGTAGCGGTAGTAGTAACAGGAAACCAACGGTGTCGTCTTCATTCCTACACACACACAAACAGCATTGACCTAGTTGGTTATCAGCTGAGGGACGTTGTAAATACAGACGTCTGTCTACAGAAAGAGGAGATCCCATGAAGCATAAAACTTTCTATGGAATTGAGAAAACAAATGAAAGAAATACTATATTCTGTCTACAAGCTGCCAGCTGATGAATGCGTGGGTTACTAGATACTCCACACTGTTGATGTGTTTCTTTATTGGTTTCTGTGTTTGTTTGTTTTCCCAGCATGCTCCCTGAGTCTCCTCCAGACTCGAGCTCGGAGGCCTGTTCACCTGCACAGATACCAGGTACTGTTCACAGCTTCAGCCACAACATGTACTGCAAGACAAGTTTTAAATAAAGAAGATTGTCTTTTTTATCTATTTTAAGTCGGCACTATCAACATGGTTTATACATCGCAGCTCAAATTCACATATCAAAGTTTGCTAAAGTAAACTGTACCTTACGCCTCTACAAACAAATCTACAGATGGCGGCAACTCCTTCAAATTTAATTGATTTCCATCCAAAATTCTGCTGTAAATGCGAGTGTGAAAAAAAGGAGGGCTGACTTATTTAGTGACAGTGTTTATGTCTTTGGTTTGAGTTTGTTTTAACATGAAAATTAGCAAACAGGGTGAAACAAAATCTACTTCTCTGATTGGCAGACTTCCACTACGAGGCGTCCTATTGGTCCAACCTGCAGACCATCCAGCCAACACAACGGCCCGCCCCCTCGACGTCCTGCCGCTTTAAGGACCGAGACCCCGCCCCAGCCCCCCATGAGCTGCTGACCCACGATCAGCTCCACACTTTGGGCCTCACAAACACTTACATCAAGTCTGGGACCTCACCTGCTCCACTGCACCAGCACACACACCGCTCACCTGAACACACACACTACGTGAGTCCAGAGAGCTGCCCGCAGGGTTACACCCCTCCCACACCACCTTCCCCGCCAATGCCCCCCTCCAACAGCTATGCCACGCCCTGCGCCGGTCCGGGCCTGGTCCCAAATTTAACCACGCCACCTTCAACCTACCTGCTGGAGTCCACCGCAGCGCTGCACACCTGGTAAGCAAACCTTCAGCACTGTCAGTTTTGTGGCTTTCAGTCTTTACTGAGTCGCCAGATTGTCATTTTTACATTCTGTAAGTTTGGCAGAAAATTTCAATATTTGACTGGCTGAATAAATATGTCATAAAAAAAAGGAACTTGACACGATAGTAGCAGTCTGGGTTCGTCTGGAAAGGCCCCCCAAAGCTAAGAAACCTCAAGGATCTGGATCTAGACTCTAGCTACTGACCAAGGAACCTCCAGTAATGGTCCAGTTCATAATCAGACATGAGTTCACAGATGTATTTTAAACGCAACATTTTGAACCAATTCTTCAACTAACTGGTCGCCAGTTGAAGGGAGGCTAAAATAGGGTGATTGCACTCTGGCTTGAACAGGAATACATTAAGTTATAGTAGTAACAGGTGGATAAAAGCAGCTTTCTCCAGTGCAGCAGAGGGTAGAAGAAACTCCATTTCAGTTATATTCTCAGGCTGGGAAACCTTCTTGACTTGAGCATCAAACATGAAGTCAGAGGACTCCCAGATTTCTGGGTACAAGTTGATTGTTGCTTGATGTTGGGTTGATCTGGATATGTGGATCGGATATTGTTTGAGGTCCAGCATTTGATCTCTTCAAGGCACTTATGTCATGAAAATATACAACGTGGTGTCGTCAGCATATAAATGTATACTTATTTGCAGATAATATAAAGAGGAAGTATGTAAACAGAAATGGTAGAAGATCTAAAAATGAGCCTTGTGGCACACCACAAGTTAGATGGGCAGTAGAGGATGAAGCATTACCAATAGCAACATGTAAAGATTCAGAGCTATCATTCCGCCAGTAAAAGGCTCAAGAATATGACTTGTAGTTGCAAGTTTTAATCTTTCAGAGTCTCCGGCTCTCTCCCCTGGAGCCCCGTCCTAGAAGACGTCAACCAATAACACCGCGTTATCCCTTCACGGCAGACATGTACGTCCTCATGCATGTAGATAATAATGGATTGGCCTGTAGGAATCTAGAACGTGTAAGGGCTGTAGGTTTGTTAGCTGTCGTTCTTGCCGCTGTTCTAGACAAAACTTTGCATTTAGAAATCCCCAGACGGTCGGTAGGTGGAGATCTCTAATTATTGGTTGTTTGGTCTGAGCTCTGTTTCTTCCTGCTTCAGCTCCTCAGAGAGTAAAAAAAGAAGAAGATCTGAGTCCGAGGAACCGTCGGCAGGAATCGAGGCCACCTGCAGTGAAGGTGATGGGACTCAAGGTGGCAGTGTAGGGAACGGCGTCAGCAGTTCAGGATCCTACCAACTTCTCACATGGGAACACTACAGGCTGGAGGATTGGATCCCTTTTTACGACGGCAGCTACCAGACAATGTGAGTATAGAACCAGCTGAATCAGTGTTTTTAATTTAAAATCAAGCACCAAGCACCTGCACAAAGGAGCAGTTTTGATTTCTTCTTCTGCGTTTCCAGGTCTCCTCCTGCCTACCACGTCGACACAGATAAAGGGTTCAACTACTCTGCAGCTGACGAGGCCTTCATCTGCCAGAAGAAGAACCACTTCCAGGTCACTGTTCACATCGGCGTGGCCGCTGAGCCAAAATACGTCAGAACACCTGGCGGGCCGCAGCAGGTCGACCACTTCCAGATAAAAGTGTTTGGGGTCAAGGTACGTAAATAACGTATATCTTCGCTCTGTGACCAGCAAAATATAAAGACAAAGAAGTATGCGTTTATGATTCAAGATAAATTACTCACAATTCAGTTGGCCTTCAAGCTTCAAATGAAAGACGTAAAAAAACATCCAGGACTTGGCCTGAAAAATAGTACAAAGAGAAAACAATTTGCAAAAGGGCCAGAATAATCTAAGATCAGTTTAGCACAAACACTGAAAGCAGGGAGACATTGCTAGCCTAGTAGCCGGTAGCATTATAGCTACTTGCAGATCAGCAGTGTTAACCTCAGTGTCGTTGTAAGAGGCCGAACTCTAACGTCAACAAAACCCAACTGGTTCTGGGATGGATTGGTGACTTGTTGGTATCTTACAAGATATAGCTTACAGCATCTTGATGAAACACCGCTACACCTACAAGATGTTTTTTCAGAGAAACTGGAAAGCTGCTGAATATTGTCGGAAACCCAACCAGCTGGGGGTGTTCAGTATTTTCCTGTTGTTCTCACTCCTCACAGCTTGAATCTCCGAGCCACCAGGTGACCATTGAGCAATCTCAACCCGACCGCAGCAAGAAGCCCTTCCACCCTGTCAGGTAGGGAAGCATCCCTACATGCACCATGTTAAGTCAGTTAAGTCAACATCCTCACCAGTTGATGATCCAAGTAGAAAACACGAATGTGGAAGAATTCTAAGCTTGACAGCCCTGCTGTGCCTCGTTATGATTGGATGATAGCTGTTAGGGGAGGGGCTTTGTGAATAGCCAATCCCTGAGCAAACCAGTTGTTTGTATTTTTACTTCACCGACCACAAGGGGCAGCGATGAGCCTATTCTCACTGCACTCAAAAACCTAGTCATTGCAGTCGTTGGCTTGAAATGTTATATGGTTCATTAGTAACTTTTGTTTTCAGTGTTTTCTATGTTAAACTTTTAACAGATCAGTAATGCAATATTTTACAAACGATAAACTATGTTCCACTAGGGTCAGTTTGCCCAGCAGCAAAATCACGAAGGTAACGCTCGGCCGACTGCACTTCAGCGAGACGACGTCCAACAACATGAGGAAGAAAAGCAAACCCAACCCCGACCAGAGGTGTGTGGGTGACTTTATGAATGAACTAAAGAATGAATGAATTGTGTTTAATTGTGTTGTGTTGTTTGTAGATATTTTCAGATGGTGGTCGGCCTGTACGCTGCAGTGGGAGGAGAGGAGACATTCCTCCTCACAGCTCTGGCGTCGGAGAGAATCATTGTCAGGGTATCAACACCGACTTCGAAGCCAATTAACTATGAACCATGAATTAATAAGGAAGATGTCTGATTTATAAAACTGTAGCCTCTCACCCTCCTCAGGCCTCTAACCCGGGTCAGTTCGAGATGGACGGGGATGCCCTTTGGCAGCGTGGGGCGGAGAAGGACGCCATGGTCTGTCAGGGCCGCGTGGGCATCAACACCGACTCCCCCGATGAGGCGCTGGTCGTCTGCGGCAATGCCAAGGTGATGGGCGCCATCATGCAGCCGTCCGACCGCCGCGCCAAGGAAAACATACAGGAGGTAAGACGACGTACAGATGGGAGTAACATTTTACATTTCTATGGAAACGTCTCACAACAAATGTGCTCATCTGTTTGTTTTTTCAGGTCGACTCTGAGCAGCAGCTGAAGAGAATCACTCAGATGAGAATAGTTGAGTTTGATTTTAAACCAGAGTTTGCCTCCACCATGGGGATAGACCACACCCACCAGACAGGTGACGAGACACGTTGTTAAAACTCCATCACAACGTTGAAACTGTTATTTATTCATAGCGCCAGGTGAGTGTGATGCTTTCTGATTGTGTTTCAGGTATAATAGCTCAGGAGGTGAAGGAGCTGCTGCCATCGGCGGTGACGGAGGTCGGAGACGTTTCCTGTTCTGACGGAGAGAAGATTCACAACTTCCTGATGGTGGACAAAGTAATCTCCTCCTCCTCCTCTTCCTCCTCACTCTGATGTGTTTGTCTCTGTTGGTTAATGATCGTCGTATGTTGTTTAATCTATCTATTATTTATTTTGATCATGGTGTCTTCATATGTCTTGTTTTTTTCTGTCCAACAGTCCAGAACCAAAATATATTTAATGAAACAGAGAAAATCGACTTTCACCATCAAAAGTTTAATAATTAATGATTTTCCGTCCACCAACCAATTGTTTTAATTGAATAATGCTTTAAGTATTTTTTTTTGGTATAAAATCTAAATATTTTGGTGCTTCTCGGTCCATGTTGTCAGATAAAAGGCTTTGGACCAAAGATCCAAGTTTATTAGCTCCCTCTGAACAACTACCGTCCCCATGAGCCTCAACAACAAGCATGCTACCAAACCTGAAGTTGAAAATGAAGAATTACGTCTGTCCCAGCACAACAGAATCTCACTTAACAAAGAATTTGTGTCCAAACTGTAGTTCCTCTGATTCTCTCTTCCTCTTCCTCTTCCTCCTCCTCTTCCTCTTCGTCCTCCAGGAGCAGATCTTCATGGAGAACGTGGGGGCGGTGCAGCAGCTTTCGAAGCTCACAGACAACCTGGAGACTCGGATCCAAGAGCTGGAGGTCTGGAACCGCCGACTGGCAAAGCTGAAGAGCCTGACAGGAAGCCTGCGCTCCACCGGGTACCTCCATCTATCTATCCATTCATCCATCTATCTATCCATTCATCCATCTATCCATTCGTTTATTCATCTGTAATACTGACTGTAAAAAAACAAAACATAACTCCATGTAATCTGTGTGTGAGGGCAGTTCAGGTTATTAAGTAGAACACCATGAGTACTGATAAAGTGTGTGTGTGTGTGTGTGTGTTACATAACAGCAGCATCACTGTGTTATCAGTGTATCACAGTTCAAGGCCGACCGAGTCTCTGAAGGCTACTGAGAATGTTTGTGTGAATGACTGAGGAGCTGCAGCCGTAAAAGACTTCCAAGAATTAACTGCAGCTAAAAATAAAGATGAAGTTGTGAAGCGTCACAAACTGACCATTTCCTGTGCTATGGTTTTACCCATTGTATGTTTCTTGTTGAAAGGCATTGTGGGAAATGTAGGCAATGACGAACTGAGTCATAATTCCACGAGGCAGGTTGAAGGACAGTAGGTTAGCAGCTGAACTGTGGTCAAGATTACAGACTGAGATTAATGGAGGTTTGATCTTATAAGTGTTGATAATTAATTGAAAGTATTACTATTTAGTTATTCAATTATTATTGGTTAAAGCTCTTCACAGAACTGTTTGTTTTACTTTTTGCAGTCAAGACTGTTTTTAAAGTTAAAATCTCAAAGGTCTCTGTTTTGTTCTCTTTGGCGACACTTGTGGCGATAAGCGGTAATTGCAGTTGGGTTTTTGGTTCCCATAGATCCAGTGTCGGGAATTCCCAAGAATGTCGCCACAAACACCAAGTTTATAATACTGCAAATGCAACGAGGGGTTCCATTAGTGGGAGAGAGACTAAATCCGGCCCATTCGTCAGGAAAATATGTTCCGTTGCAGGTTTCTGCAAACCACAGATACGTTGATATTTTAAATTTGTTTAGTTTTTGTGGCCGTTGCTAGTGTTGTGAGTAAAACCAAAAGTATACGTTGAGTTTACACTTCTTACGTAAGACAGTTTACTGGTAGTGATTGTTGTATAAGTTCGCTAGTTACGCTTGTTAAGTAACGCTACGTAAGAGAATCTGTTAGGGGCGTAACTAGCGTGTTTATTTTACGCCAGTCATGTTGTTACGTTACGTTGTTGCGTTGTTACGTTGCATTGTTACGTTGCATTGTTACGTTGCGTTGTTACGTTGCGTTGTTGCGTTGTTACGTTGGGTTGTTACATTGTTGCGTTGTTACGTTGCGTTGTTGCGTTACGTTGTTGCGTTGCGTTGTTACGTTGCGTTGTTATGTTGCGTGGTTATGTTGCGTGTTACCTCATTCGATGATATACAGTGACTTAACCAACATTTATTTAAAATAAAATATTCAGCTTGAAAGTGTGGAAATGATGGATCATATTTGGTTTCTGGTAAACAAAAATAAATCCACCGGGTTCGTCTGTGATTTCAGAATAAAAGGTGGAAGTCTTGTGCTTTCTCTAACAGGAAAGCCAGGAAACACAGCAGTGTGTCGATTACGCCAAGTACGGACACTGGGAATAAGACCAAGACTGGGAACGCTAAGAAACCAGGCTGGAGTCAGAAGTACAGCCACTTCATAAAGCGTCATAAAGTCCTCATGGCCAGCATCTTTACCCTGATGACCACCATGGCTTTGTGGTGAGGCATGCTGTCACTTCCTGTTTTTACTTCATTGCAATAATATGTAAAACGAAGTAAGACAAATATTAATTAACCACGATTATGCTCTGTGTTTGTGTGCAGTTTCATCTCTATCACAGCTCTGTTCTTTCTAAATTTGAGGGATGGAGACATTGAGCAGAACAGGTAAAAGAACAACTTAATTAATTAGTATTCCCTTTGTCACCACTGACAGTTGCTGTCTAAGTGACTAATGGGGGCAATATGTTTTTAAATTGCTCCAGTATTGAATGAGAGCGCTGCAGACGACAGCCGCTATACAGGCTTTAGTGTAATCCTTCGGTGGAATTTCTCACTGTCGATGTACGTCCATTGAAAGTACTTGTTGTTACCACTGACAGGCTCAGATTGTTATTATAAATGTCGAACAACATTATGCTAAGAACCCTACAGAGTAATAAAACCTTACGCTTGATCCGGTGTGTTTATTATTGTGTATAACTAAGTTTTGCTCAAGGAGAAGTCTTGTTCTGGAATCTTCCGAGAGGTGACTTGTTGATCTGAGTGAGAGTTGAAGAGAGGAATGTAAGCAAGAGTTTTATCGTGTTGGAGTAATAAAATTGTAGCTTGGTGTTATTTTATAAAACTTCCAGTGTCATGGCTGAATATTAAGCTGATTTTGACAAAGTGGATGAAACTTGAGATTTCCTGAACAAGACTTCTCCGTCAGCGAGACAGTCAATAAAAACTGATCTTTACCTTTCAAGTGAAAGGTAAAGAAAAAGGTTTTATTTCTCTTTCCATAATAATAACCAGAGTCTGTCTGTGGCAAAAAAAAACAACTTACATTGACGGTGAGGAGTTGCCCAATATGATAATATTGTCTGCAGCGCTCTCATTTAATACTCCCCCCATTAGTCATGTAGATGCAAAGACATTTGCGGGACCGTTGATCCATACTGGAAATGTAAACGTATACGTTTTGTCCTGTGGGCTGCTTCAGTACTTTTAAGCCTGTTAGTCACTGCCTCCAAATCTGCCTGTGATGTTTATGGGGTTGTCATAATTTTCAATAACAATAAAACTTAATTACGACATAATTTTCGTGTTCTGTGTGGGGTTTTGTTTTTTCTGATTGTTGTTTTTGTCTGCTAGTAACAGCAGTGTGGTTCCTCTGCAGACCACAGCCTGGAGCAGCACAGGTAACCTACAACTTCACAACACGGACTGTGTTTACATTCACTTTAATGTAGGATATAGTCTGAATAATGATTATTATGTATCCTGTTCACCTGGATAAACAGGTAATCCAGAGTCCAAAGTAATGTCAGATCATGTAGAGATAGCCACTGACTGTTCATTCATTCACATACTGACATGGTGACAATGTTGTATTCCAGAAGACAATTAGAGGCGCTAGAGTTAAATGTAGTATTTTGTATTTGTTTCACATGATTCAAATCCTCACATATATTGGCAGCAATGCTAATTTAAAAGGTGGATCAATAGAATGTTTAAACCACCTGTTTTTTTATAACGCTAACTCCCACTTCTCTCGACCAGTCCCACCCACCAGTCCACATGGCCCCTGGCCCCCAGACGTGGACTTCTGTGACCTGCTGTACTGTGAACGGGTGTACTGCTGTGAACCACCTGCAGGGGGCAGCACTGACTCCAACATCACCTCCACCAAATCAGCCGGAGAAGAAGCGTCTGATCTGACAGGTAACAACAGCTTCCTTCATACATAATATACACATGAACGTAGGAAAGAGGAATGTCAAAAATAAACAGATGTATGCATCATATAAATGAATGTTTGAAATAGATTATATATCAAATAAAGACATGCACACGGTTGGATATCACTGTCATTACTTTCAGTACTAACTGGATGTGATGATGATTCCTGCTGTAATGGTTGGTGTGTTTTTGTTCTACAGAAATGGGAAAAGAAAAACTTTATAACAAGCTGAAAAATGCCAGAGACTGTGAGTGTTCACGTCACATTTTGGAGGGAGGACAGCGACTGAGCTGACTAAAACAATCCAATAAAACATTTACACACAATGTGATGTATCTCAATAATTATCTTTTATCAGGGACGAACACCACCATCCATTATTTCATGATCAAAGAGAACCAGCGGGTGATTGACAGTAAATACTGCCTGAGAGGCGAATGTGGGTAAGTGAAGAAAACAGACCATAAATACACCATAAATACTGTATTATCTGTGTGCTACAACAGAGTAAGAGCCTTATAGATAATAGATAATTATATAGCAATACTAATGTGAAAAACAGCAGCAGATTTTTTGGAGGGTTTGTTTAAAGAACCACTTAAAAACTCAGAGCCAATGATGATCAATGATTCATGATTTATGATGAAGCGCCTAGACACTAGCTTATAAACAGTCATATGCAGTTGTATTTATATTCTTTAAATAAGTAAAAGCAGCAATACTCTTCTGTAAAAATACTCACAAAAATGTACTTTAAGGTTCAAAAGTAAAAGTACTCAATACAGAAAAATGAGCCTTATCTGTGTTCACTATTATACACTATTATATATTTTATTAGCTGATTCATTTGGACTTTGTTTGCTTGTTTTAAACTGTAGCCTGAAATGTCAAATTCTTGACATATATAAATCAACATGTTTGTAAATTTGTAGCTTTTAATTTATTTTATCTTTTGAATATTGGGGCTTAGTTTTCCCCTCAGTTAGAAAACAACTTGTTTAAATGTGAGCTGATATGTTTTCACTGTGGTTCCTTCAGACCAGGTAGATACACCTACAGAGTTCCCATCAGCCAGTTTGTCCCAGTCAACATGAGAGTCACGCTGCTCATGAAGTAAGTACTCACCGACTGTAAACATCCAAACAATATCTGGTCGAAAACACCTCCATGAAAACAGGAATTTAGACCACGATATAATTCTATATATGTTCTTTATATATAAGTTTTAGGTCAACTTCTTAGCTAACAATTAAATGTGTCCAACTGAATACTACATACAAATAATAACTTTATCTTCAGTCTGAATATAATAATAATACAATCAATGATGATTTGGAAATGGGAACTTTATTAACAAACAAAAGGTACAAAAACAACAATAGCTTTAAATGTTTTACAGAAAAATAGTATGTTTGGTTATTTTAAATTGATCGAGTTAAAAATTCATAATTTAGCTAAAGTCAACACTTTTTAAATGTCTCTTGTTACTAAAAAACATTAAAGTCGTGTTAACAATATTAGCCTATAGTTTATAGAATTGGGACAAAGTAGTAGCTAATATATGCTAACTCGGCTGATTAGCATACTTGCTAACACTGCTTCTAATGTTTAAAGATAACAATTATGTGTCCAACTGCTTACATAGAAGATTCTATAAAAAGAGGTTGTGGATATAGAAACTTGTTTACCAAACTAAAGGTATTCAAGTAAAGAAAGAGAGAGAATTGTTTAATGTCAAAAATACATAACTTAGCTAATATTGGACTCATCGACTCATACTTTTTAAATGTCTTTTTGTTACTAAAATACAAATTCTAAAAATATCTAACTAATTAAAATTTAACATTTGCAATGTTAATAGTGTAAGTATTAGAATTGGGACACAGTAATAGCTAATATCTGCTCAAATAACTTTTGTGATTGCTAACGCAGCAAATTAGCACACTAGCTAACATAGCTAGTTGATGCTAACGTTCAAATGTTGGCAATAGCATTGTGTTAGCTATCTCACAGTTTGGGTTAATTGAGCTAATTCTTCTCAGTTGTTTTTCTAAATTAGGGACTAAAACTAAAGATATGACAGTAAATTAAACATGTTTTATATATATTTATTTTTACTTCTGTGTAGTTCCACAGAGCTGCTGGTGGTTCATCTGTGTGGCCTCGATGAGTCGGCCTCCTGCTCTGCTCTGCTGGATATGAACACTGTCACTGGGAGCAGATACCCACCAAACACACAGGTAGATATCGTAGATTAACATTACCTATTGATTGGTTGATTGATTTATTACAATCTGAGCTTTAACAGTTTCATTATTATATTCTATTTGGCTGTTTCTGATCCTACTGACGTGGTTGAAAGCAAAACAGAAGCACATGGAAGCATATTTGTCTGTAGTGATGAGTAATAAGCACCGAAAGTAGCCAAATAAGTTTTCAATACACACTTTTATGTGTTTTATGGACAATTAAAGGAAAATTGCTACCTGTAAAAATAGAGGCAAACTGAACATCAATGCTTGTGATGGAAAACTATACATGTACGTGCTTGGATCAACTTCTGTGTGTGCATATATTGGTTTTAGGGTCACTGAGGTTCCAGTCCACTAACTCAGTTACATTACAGTGAATAATGCAGTGTGTGTGGGGTAAACACTGATGAATAATGGATATGTGGCAGGGTTTCTCTCACATCATGACAACAACATGCTAATCACAGCTACGCTCACGTTAATCCATGGACACCAATCACACAGTGACACGCGTGTTACTGCAACATACAGAATGTCATGAGCATGTTTTCTCTTCTCTCCGGCACCAAAAGATCAATCTAATCAATAATATCCGGATTAATTTAAAAAGATAATAATCTTTAGTTGTTTTTAACATTCATTCAGAAACGGTTCAAAATTAAATTATGTTTTAAATCCAAAGATAAGTTTAAAAAGTGTGTGCTTGATGTGACATTTATTGAAAACTGAGCGTTTGTTGAGTAAACATAGAGCTAATTTTTGATGTTTCGTCTCTCTGTGTGTTTCCTCAGGGAGAACATGAATGGGCGCTTCACGTCGCTCGTCTTTATCACAGCTCGTATCACTTTCGCTCTACAGTGGCTGTAAGAAACTGATGTTTTTTATTTCCTGTCCTCTGCTTCTATAAGAAAGGGTTTCATTAAGCACAAGACCCCTGTTTTTATTATTATTTTTTGATTATTAACAGATCTATGATGGCATATCAGGAAATATGCCATCATATTATATCTATATTATATATACACACAACAGCCTTTATCTTGTAGCATCCATACTATATTAATATAAGTAATAATAAGTGCTTGTACATGTCTCTCCTCTCAGGGTCAAGCTGACTGCAGTACTGACCATCACTACGCGGGGGCGCTCTTCACCGACTACCACTTCTACTTCTATAGACGCTGCACAGACACACATTTAAAGACAAATAACAAAAGAATATTAATATATTAAGTGCAATTATATTAAATATTTGTTGGTCTCACACAAAGAAGACAATCTGAGTAAAGTAAGCAGACTGTCATCGCTTCTGCTTTTGGGTTTTTTTAAGCTGCAAATTCAATTTTATTGTCATACTCATCACTTTTGCTGATTGTTCCGGGAAATTGCAAAAAAAAGAGATACAGTGGACTTTTTTCGGATCAGATAATCACAATATCTCCTTTAATGTTCTTCTATTTACTATCTTTATTGTCATTTCTTTCCCTCTTTCTGAGAAAGTGTTTAGCTTGTAGTGATGCAGACCAACACAAGAACAACAGATATGTACAGATATCTGTCAATGGCTTTATTTTCTCGAATTACCTTTATTTTTCTGGCTTTTCTCAAATCTTTGGCTTTTTTGTGACATACTGTGGAGTTTAACCTTGTTTAGGCCTGTAAAAACAGAAAGAGGAAATATGAGTATAGTATACAGTTGACCTATGCAAACTGTGACGAGGCATTGCTCAGTTTGAAAAGTGCCTGGAATGAATTAGTTTGCTGTTTTGTGTTTTAGTTATTTTTATTGATGAAGTTTATTTGCTGTAAAGTACTGATCTCATTCTGATGGAACAGGATTCACACCTATGTGGAAGAAATTTGGGATTATTTTCAAAATCCCAAGCAAAGTTTGATTTTTGAGCAAGAATTCTGAGAAAAAAGCCGGAATGTTGATATCAGAAATTTTGTTGTTCGCACTTCAACTGTTATTTGTAATTTAGTCTCAAACAACAAAACCCTGAGAAAGATATTCTTCTAAATTTAGGAGTTTAATTTTTTTTACTTTGGTCGAAAAGCAGTAATTACAAGATGGTAAAGTTATTTGTTAAAAGTAAAAATATATATGTAGTTTCAGTGATTTGTGTGAAATTGTTTATTAATTAAAGAATTAATCTTTTCTATCAGTTGAACTGAACATGACTGAATCCTGAATGCTCTGCATTATGGGAAATTAAAACTAATAAACAGTGAGGTATATTAAAAAAATGTCATTGCATCTATTTTAACTATAAATCTACAATGTAGGATCTGGAATGTAAAACATGTCGCCAGTTATGAGGACTTTCATTGACTAAATTCACCCCGCAGCCTTTTATAGTGACCTTAATTTGAACCTAAATCTAAATCAAAGTGAACACTCAAAACTGTGAGGACGCACACTTTGGTCCCCAGAAATGCAGGTTAGTCCCCACAATGCTGTGTGATGTCTTAGGTCCCCACAGTGTACAATAGGTGAATATGTGGGTTTTATTGACCTCTTTACTTTTTGTAGTGTTTTTAACATCCATATTGGCAGGGGTGGAAGATGTTCTGTCAAAATACTTAACAGTAAAAGTTTAAAATGCAGTGCATCTACACCAGGAGTGGATACCGTAACAAAATAAATAAAATATATTGACAATAAAGTTAATATGAGGAACTTTCATTTTGTGTTGATTTAGTCGGTCCCTGTGGACTAAAGTGGTAGTGTTTCTAAAGAAGAGGAGGAGGGGGGCTGAGCTCTCCTCCCTCCGGAGCTCCTGGATCTGGGCCTGTCCATGGTTGATCGGTCTCTGCTGGAGGATCTCGGTCTGTCCACGGTGGACCGGTCTCTGCTAGAGGATCTGGGTCTGTCCACGGTGGATCGGTCTCTGCTGGAGGATCTGCATCTGTCCATGGTGGACCGGTCTCTGCTGGAGGATCTGGGTCTGTCCACAGTGGACCGGTCTCTGTTGGAGTCTGAGCTGAAGGAGTTTCTGGTGAACCTGCATGAGTTCATCTGGTTTCACCAGAATCCGACCCGGTGGCTCTGATGACGAGCATTAAGAATAACTCTATAGAAACAGACCATCTTCTCTCTGATGGTCTATTTACTGATGGAGGTCTGATAGAGGATCAGGACCAAACTGAGACTGGTTCATATAGAGCAGGGGTGCCCAATACGTCGATCGCGATCGACCAGTCGATCGCGGAGGTAGTGTGAGTAGATCGCATGCCATTCAAAAACAATTAGATGTCCGCATGGCATTTGCCACTTGATTTTCTAACACACGGGTCACCACGTATGCGCGGTCAACCACGCGAGCTACTGCAAAACTCCGGCGAGCTAATTAGTTAGCCTTCCAATTTATTTCTACTAAAGAAGCTAAAGCTGTAGCGCCATGATTTGGGAAACTTCCAAAACCTCGCGTCAGAACTGGAGACTCAACAGAAGGCGTGTGCGTAACTTGACAGTGCGCGCTACACAGAGCAGATTGACAAGTGTCTGTCAGAGTTTGACAAACGCTTTCGAGACGTTGCTTTACTCGAGCCAGTTGCTACACTTATGTGCTGCACATTTCGGGAAGATATTGAAGTTGATTCACTCGCATCAAAAATTGCCACGCTGTTTCACCTGAACTCGTCTGGAGTGGAGGATGAGATTCTGACACTGCAAGCTGACATTCAGCTGAAGTCCAGGGCTCATGGACAGTTTTCTCACAGAGCAAAAGTACCCAAACATGAGGACATGTGATACCTTCTTGACTGCATTATTCGGCTCTACTCATTTATGTGAGTCAGCCTTTTCCCACATGAAGAACATTAAGTCCATACACCGTTCCACCATGACTGATGATCATTTGAAGTCTGCTTGAGGCGGGCTACCAGCAGCTACTGTCCGGACTATGCAACTCTGGCCAATCCCATTCAGTGCAAGTCATCAGAGTAAGGTAATGACCAAACATGTACAGAATTGTATTGTGCCATAAGGGTTCATGCAGTTATGCAAGGTACGCCAACATATATTGCAAATATAAAGTATACTCAGTATATATATATATATTCAGCATTTTTAATGTAGGTAGATCATTTTGACTTGGTCATTTTAAAAGTAGCTCGCAAGCCGAAAAAGTGTGGGCACCCCTGATATCGAGGATCAGGACTACACTGAGACTGGTTCAGGACCAGGTAAAGGTTCCTCACTGTAACTTTAACTGCAAATTAAAAATTAAAGTCGTTGCATATGAATGTAAATTTAAGGAGAGACGGTTGGTTTTCTTAACATGTGAACTCCCTCAGCTGTACACACACACACACACACACACACACACACACACACACACACACACTGATGACTAATTCAGGCAGAGGAGGTGCAGCAGCAGAAACAGACTAATTAGGTGTCAGAGAGAAACGTCTCCGCTGCAGAGACGAAGGTAAAGTAAAGAAAGGAAACACACAAACGCAGAGATGGACGTCCAGCACACTGTGAGTATCTGTCACTATATAAACCTGTTTAATACTCAACTTATATATATATATATATGTATATGTATATATATATGTATATATATACATATGTGTATATATATATATATATATCAGTTCTTTAACTACGTTGATGTATTTGCCGCAATGAAAAACGTTAAAAAGGATTCTAAAAACAAGAACATTTCAAGCTGCTGCAGGAGATTTCAGATGTGTTTTCTCTTAAAAAAATATTTTTTTATTTACAGAAATCTAATTTTGTGGAGCAGGACTTTAAGTTTTCCCTCTTAGATTCTTGAAATATATGATGAAAAGTTCTCTGCAGAAGAAAGCAAGACATATTGTCTTTGCAGTAATATTGATTACAAGTTCTGCAGATTCATTCTGATACAAGATGCTTTTAATTAACACCGTTTAATGATTTTTAAAGGGGTGTATTGTTTGTGTTATGTTTTATTTCCCATGCTTTATTCTATTTAACATAAAGTATATTCATGTTTGGCATTTCAGAAAATATATAACAAATATTTTTTGTAGCCTTACAGTTGAAGAAGTTGTCTTTTTGATTGTTGTTTAAGGTTTCAGATCTGGATCTTTAATTTCTTAAACTACAAAACAATCTAAAGGAGAGGATGAACCCTGTGGATTTTTATGACAATCAAACCTTTACTAAACTTTACATTCTTACAAAAATAACAACTCAAACATCTATCCGTCCAAGAATTTGAACCAAAACAAGTTCACAACACACATTTTATGTGTCTGTTGATGCATTTCCTCTAGCGCCGCCTTCAGGTGGAGAGATGCGCTTCATTGAGCGGTTTTACACAAACACTGAAACATTGAGACTTTCTTGATGTGCAAAGTTGTCTTTTAAATTGACAAACATCATCGGTGTAATTCATGGCACAATGCAAACGGGATCAAAAAATGATTTGTCTCTAGCCGCTAAACTGCCAGACACATCGTTTCTCAAATAAGGTCCAATGTGGGGCCCACTGGACGAAGAGGGACTGAGGTAAACTGTTAATCCAAACTAAAAAAAAACAGGTGTAACGTTCCTGAGTTTCTACAGGTAACTAATCTCTACTCCGCAGTGTGTGTTTATGTGTGTGTGTGTGTGTGTGTAGCGGTGTCATCTGTCAGCTCGGAGTCTGATGGACAGATGTCTCCTGTCACCATGGAAACTGTCTCTTCCAGGCTTCCATCCGTCCTCTTCTGAGGCATGTAATTAACTGATACCCTATCCTGTGTGTGTGTGTGTGTGTGTGTGTGTGTGTGTGTGTGTGTGTTGCAGTGCAGGCTGGGGGCTCGACATCTCTCTAAGATTCAGGAGGAGTCGGACAGTAGAGAACACAGGTAACAGTAAATACTGTACTTTTTACTGTACTACATCTCAGAGGTACATGTTGTACTTTTTACTGTACTACATCTCAGAGGTAAATGTACTCTTTACTGTACATCTCAGAGGTACATGTTGTAATTTTTCCATAGTGTTAAAAAGAGTCTACCACAAACCTTCGTCAATAAAGTCGAACAATTAAAAAAAGCGCAGCAGCTTCATGTGTTGAATTTTCCCATAACAGCTAAAAGCCAAGCCTCCAAACATCCACATTTTTTGGGGGGGAAATTCAGCCCAAGATGTTGAAATGTGATGTTACGTTTCACATTTAAATAAATGAAGAAGAAAGAAAATAGATACAACCAAATAAAAACTTGGATGGAAACATTTGCTGCTGTCTGCAGACAAACTGGAAACTCAGTCTGGTACGACAATCTGATAACTGTGTGTGTGTGTGTGTGTGTGTGTGTGTGTGTGTGTGTGTGTGTGTGTGTTTGTGTGTCATACATTATTTTATCTCAGGCTTTAAATCTGGAGCCCTGGCTTTTAAATTATAGTTTTTACTATTTTACACCACATTGAGCTATTATTTTTTTTGTCATGTTTGTCCTTTCTCTCTCAGCACCTGTTTCCTGCCTCCGATCGTCCAGCAGCAGACGGGTGCAGCAGGTAAACCAGGTGTGGACGAGGCAGAGAGGCAGGAAGTGAGGCGTCTGTCTGACTCACCGTCAACAGCTCTGTACGAGCAGCAGAGGAAGCTGGGGGACAACCGGAGTCTGCTGGAGGAGGTAACGTTTAAGATGAGGTGTGGGAGACAACCCCCGGTTCTTTAAAGTGAAGTCAAAGCTTCATGTGTTAAAGCTGCATTGTCTCTAGTGTCCACCAGGGGGCGACTCCTCTGGTTGTATAGAAGTCTATGAGAAAATGACTCTACTTCTCTCTTGATTTATTACCTCAGTAAACATTGTAAACATGAGTTTATGGTCTCAATCTCTAGTTTCAAGTCTTCTTCAACACAGCATGATGTTCATTTAGTACATTATGGTCCATTTAGAGTCACACAGACCATAAAGCAGGGGATGCTTTAGGAGGAAATGGAGCATTTGTTGGGGACTATTTTCAGTGGTGGATGAATCCACATTTGGTGCTCTAGTGAGTATGAGTGATGGAGGAGTCAAAATAAACTACAGTGTGATGATGATGATGATGGTGATGAAAGAACAGAGAGGCTCATTGATGTGTTACACACACAACACTTGTTAGATACATTCAGTGTTTGTGTGTGTGTGTGTGTGTGTGTGTGTGTGTGTGTGTGTGTGTGTGTGTTTCAGTTGGGTCGTATCGAGGCCGAGCTCCGGGACTCGGTGCGTCTGGATGTCGAGCGTCAGCGTGAAGCCGAGTTCCGCCATCGACAAGAGAACAACCTGCTTAGGACACACCTGTGTTACCTGAGCCTCAGCCAGCGCGTCGCCAAGTAAACACTCGTATCCTTCCGCCTGAGCACTATATTCTGTGTCCAAGTAACTTCAGGTGTCTCCTGTGTCGTGTCCTCCGCAGACCCTGGGTCAGCAGCTACTTCAGGAAGTTCCCCATGCACATCTACTGCCTTCCTGTCCAGGCGGCCAATCACAGAAGCCGGAGGCGGGGCCTAACGAAGAGGAGATGATATGTTTTTTTTTTACTTGAATAATAAATGTAATTTCTTCCCCGTCCATTATTTTTTCCTTATTTTAAAGTCCTTAAAGTACAAAAAGACATATTTGTACATCAGGATCCAAACTTTTTAGATTTAGAAATTAGAAAACTAATATTAGACTA